ACCATTTGACCTTAGAACTGAAGAAGCTTCTCGGATGAGAGGTGAAACGTCTTCAAGCAACTTAAAGAAGTCCAGACGCTTTTCTTTGCAAGCTCCTTAAACATTAATTAACATTCACATAAGAACTCATGTTTCATTGGTCACTGTTGGTCCTCCATACGGCTGCCTGTGTTTGACACTAAAATGTGAAATATTTACAGGAGAGAATCATTTGTGTCTGTGGGGTTAATGAACGCTGCAGGTCGGAGGAGGAGGAGGAGTGAAGGTCAGAGGGGAAACCAGCAGCAGCTCTGCGTCCTCTCGTCCTCGCCTCAGTGAACCTCAGCCTGAGTCTGTGACCAGAATTCACAGCGAGTGTTTCATCCTTCCTTCTCCTCAGACCTCGGTCTCTCTCCTCCTTCTTTTCTGTTACTGTTTTCTTTTGTGTCTCCTTGTTTCCTTCCACATCCCCTTCTTTACTTTTATACATCCTTGTTTTGTTTTTCTACTTTCCTTCTCTTCGTCCTTCTTTCCTTGTTTCCTTGCTCTGATTCTGTTTTCATTCATGTGCCTTTATTTCCTTTCACACCTCCTTCTGTCCTTAAAAACTTTTTGTCCTTATTTCCTTTTATGTTTCCTTCTTTTACTCCCTGCATACTTCTTACTTTTCATACTTCCTTGTCCACTTCTGTGTTTCCTGTCCTTCTTCCTTCCTTCCCTGGAGTCTTCTTGCTTCATTGCCTTGTGTCCTTCTATCCCTTCCTTCCAGGTCAAATTAGTTGCTTCCTTCTATGTTTCCTTCCTGTCCTTTCCTTGTGTTTGTCCTTGTTTTCTTTAGACCTTGTTCTAGTTTCATTCATGTGTCCTTCTTTCCTTGCCTCTATGTTTTCTTTACTTCATTAAATATCTTTTTGGGATTATTCATACTTCCTTATGCCCTTAAATACATTCCTGTGTGCTCATTTCCTTCATATTGCTTCCATATTCCCTTCCCTTGCACACTTTCCTGATTCTGTTGTTATTTCCTCCTATGCTCCCTTGGGTCCTTTCAGACATGTGTCCTTTTCCCCCTTCTTTTCCACCTTCTTTCATTGCTTCCTTGTTTCCTTCGGCGATACCTTTCCTTGTTTTTTTAATAGTTGAATTCCTTCAACACTTTCTCCTCATTTTGTTCTATACCTCCTTCCTTTTGTCCTTTCCTTGCATTTGTCCTTATATCCTTCCAAACCTTCTTTTCCCTGCAGTGTCCTTCTATACCTCCTTCATGTATGTCACATTCCTTTCATTCATGCATCATTTTTTGCTTCCTTCTTTCCTTGTTTACTTCTTTGTTTACCTCCTCCTTTCCATCTGTCCTTGTGGTTTCCTTCCATGCACTCTTGATTCCTCCATCTCTGTTTCTTCATCCTTTTATAGCTCATGATTTCCTTACATAAAAAGAAAAGCTCCTTTCCTTCCTCTCTGTCTCATCATAATAAAATAACAGATGGTACGCCCTCACAGATTACCTCATGCCTCCTCGTCGTTCCTCTGTCCTCCAGCATTTAGACCAAGACGACTAATAGAGTTGCACTATTAAATAATGCAGGACCGGCCTCGGGCGGCTGCAGGAGCGTTTATATCAAACCCCGGGATGCTCCGCCCATCCTGCTCCACCCTCGTTCTCTCTTTGATGGCTCGACTGTCGCTGTCATCACAAACAGTCACAGGACTCAAACCTGTGGCTGCAGCAGCTGCTGGAGCTTCACCCCGAGACGCCAACATGTTTTATCCTTTATGTGAGGATGCCATGTTGGTTTAACGTGTTAGTTCAGACTTCTAGGTCGCTCTGTTAGCGCTGTTTCCATACTCAGTGTCTGAGAGCGGATAGGTCAAAGGTCACGGCCCAGATGAGCAGTGTGATGGTCAGACTGCAGCGACATCAAAGACATTTTATTGTTCGAGGAGTTTGTAATTATTTTATTTTCAAACAAAGAACTCTAAACGTGACGATTTTAAAGTGCAAAACTCAATAAAAGTGAGAAATCTGCTGAATCATGTTTGTTCACTGAAGCAGGAAATCTGCTCATGTTAGTGGGAGTGGAGGGGGGCTGAGTCGCTGCTGCAGCCTCTGCTGGTCGCTGGAGGAAGTGCAGGTTTGAGCGATGTCAGCTTTGTTTCCAGGTTGGGTCGGAGGGACGAGCTTGGTTCAGTGCAGTGGTGACAAACAAACACACACACACACACACACACACACACACACACACACA